GTGTTTCATTCACTATTAGAGTCTACTGTTTCATTCACTATTAGAATCTACTACCTTGTGTTTCATTCACTATTAGAATCTACTGCCTTGTGTTTCATTCATTATTAGAGTCTACTGTTTCATTTACTGTTAGAATCTACTGCCTTGTGTTTCATTCACTATTAGAGCCTACTGTCATGTGTTTCATTCACTATTAGAATCTACTGTTTCATTCACTATTAGAATCTACTGCCTTGTGTTTCATTCACTATTAGAATCTACTGCCTTGTGTTTCATTCACTATTAGAATCTACTGCCTTGTGTTTCATTCACTATTAGAATCTACTGCCTTGTGTTTCATTCACTATTAGAATCTATTGCCTTATGTTTCAATCACTATTAGAATCTACTGCCGTCTGTTTCATTCACTATTAGAGTCTACTGTTTCATTCACTATTAGAATCTACTGCCTTGTGTTTCATTCACTATTAGAATCTACTGCCTTGTGTTTCATTCACTATTAGAGTCTACTGTTTCATTCACTATTAGAATCTACTGCCTTGTGTTTCATTCACTATTAGAATCTACTGCCTTGTGTTTCATTCACTATTAGAGTCTACTGTTTCATTCACTATTAGAATCTACTGCCTTGTGTTTCATTCACTATTAGAATCTACTGCCTTGTGTTTCATTCACTATTAGAATCTACTGCCTTGTGTTTCATTCACTATTAGAATCTACTGCCTTGTGTTTCATTCACTATTAGAATCTACTATTTCATTCACTATTAGAATCTACTGCCTTGTGTTTCATTCACTATTAGAATCTACTGCCTTGTGTTTCATTCACTATTAGAATCTACTGCCTTGTGTTTCATTCACTGTTAGAATCTACTGCCGTGTTTTTCATTCACTATTAGAGTCTACTGCCGTTTGTTTCATTCATTATTAGAATCTACTGTGTTTCATTCACTATTAGAGCCTACTGTCATGTGTTTCATTCACTATTAGAGTCTATTGTCATGTGTTTCATTCACTATTAGAGTCTATTGTCATGTGTTTCATTCACTATTAGGGTCTATTGTCATGTGTTTAACTGACTGACACTCTACTGTCATGTGTTTCATTCACTACTAGGGTCATGCGTGGAACTAATTGCTGCACATTACTGCCATGTGTTGGACTGTTGCATTTTACTGCAATGTGTTGAACTGTTGCACATTACTGTCATGTGTTGAACTAACTGTTGAACATTACTGTCATGTGTTGGACTAATTGTTGCACATTACTGTCATGTATTGGACTGACTGGTATATTTTGATGCCTTTCGTTCAATTTTCTCTACTATTAAGTGTTGCAGTAATATAGTTCAGTGTTATGCGTTGCACTTTCTGTTACACTGTTATGTGTTGGATACTGATGAGGTCGTTGCACATGGGTCATAATCTGCGTGCCTACCTCTGACGCACAGCCTGTCTGAGAATATCGGTGTCAATCTGTGCGTGCTTATTCCCACGATTCAGAAACCGGTCGAGTGTAGTAGCTAAGTCGACACAACAGGAATGTGGAAGTTACGGTGGCTGAGCGGGTTAGGCGGCTGACTTTGTGTGCTAGCGATAAGGTGCCTGACTCTGAGGTTGTGGGTTCCAATCCCGGATAGGACCCAACCCAACAAAAGTACAAGAATTTGTACTTTACTAAGAAAGTGTAATCCCAAATATAACATATGTTAACAGGAATGTCTGTCAACAACATTTTTCCTGACCTTCCTCAAAGATAAAAGACTACGTCTCCATGTTCTTGTGAATACATATTACAGCTTGTTGAATTTGTGGGTTCACATCATGGGGATTCTGTGTTAGAACTAGACCCCAGTAACCTATGTTTGTGGTCCGAGAGGACTTCAAGTGGATCGGGTCAGTAGGCCATGCAATTATTATAAGGATTTTGTGTTTCAGCGGTGTACAAGTAAGTTGAATGAAATTCTTTGCCTTCTTGGAATTTCGTATTGTTTTACGACGCACTCAACACCTTTCAACCCCAGTCAAGTCAACTTGTACACAATTAGGAACAAACAAACCTCACAACTTCACCCCCCTCTCTCTCCCTCTTTGTATGAATAGATGCATGTATGATAGATCAAACATAACCATACCCAAAACCTCCATAACTGCAATAATCAATAAAACAGGGTCCACGTCACCCTAACGCAATACACATACACAATAACACTGTATAGTAACACTGCGTTTGTGTCATGAATATTCACTGACTTACATTTCTACCATATAACGTCCTGCATAACCAAACATTTCTCAACTTAATACCCATGCTTCATAATCCGAACAAAAAAGGAACCTTTTCTTGAATAATTCAGTTGCTACGATTGGCAATAACAACCCCATACGTATGTCAACGTTTGTAATTACGACATTAAGTGTCACTCAGTTTCGATTCGAAAATGTAAATACCTCCTAACCATTACCAGCCTTTAAATAGACATTAAATATGATATTACAAAAGTGGAGAAAATATTGTCAAGTCCGGACGTGATTGCTTGACTTAATAATTACGAGTGACCCATCCACATATCTGCAGGATTCTTATCAATTCCCCTTTCACTTCACCGAGCAATAGTTGTGTATATACACTTACACTAATACATATTTATCATTTCCTAAGTAGGAGATATTAAGGAGATATTAATTATAAGTCCTACGTAGGAGATCGTGAGTTTTTTCACCTTGTCCCTATTACGCTTCCGTAGTCAGGGGCTTAGAACTTTCATGACATCGTTATGACCTTCAGTCTGATGCTTCTAGGAGTGCCTTTAGGTATTACATTAGCGCCTGAGATATTCAGAGGCAAATGTCAGAAGTGCTGTCGAACCATCAGGGTACAGAAGAAATTATTTTCTTATTCATGGAAAGGATCAGGAGGTCCATGGTGAGCATCTCAAATGAGGATCCTAGAACCTCTCAGAAAATAGGGACTAAAGTTGACTAAAAAGCATGAAAGTGTTGCAGGAAGAAACTCCCTATTTCAGAAACAAAACTTCTGAAAAATAGTAGGAGTCCTGACCCTGCCAAGGTGGCAGGCATATTCATTCTTTGAACGACAACATGCGTGGTGAACAATCCAGGCACTTTCTCACCAGATATAGTAACGGCGATGAAGCCACTGAGAGACAGGTTTACTTCGTTTGCCCAGAATGAATCAGCCATCACAGGTACACCCGATTTTGTTTTCTTTGATACCTTTATTGCCAACGACAGTTGCCCCAGCAGCTATTGAATCGGCGCTTCACTACGCCTGAGGCGCGAGATGCTGCTCTCATTTAATTATGAGTATGATATCTTGTAGTTTCGTCCCACTGGGTTTGCCATTTTTGGGGCCGTGGAAACTTTGATTTAACTATTTTTCACTAGTTTGGTGAGGGACTAGCCTGTATCTTAGCAATGTCTTTGAAACTGCAGAGCCAGTGTGTCTGCCCTTATGTTTCAGTGAACGTCTTTGTAAAATGGGATCCAACAAAACTCCGCCTGTTACCCTGGACATATAGTTTAATGTATTCTTGCAGATTCTTGGTCTAGAATCTGAGTTTCTAGAGCTGATGGCTAGTAGTATACTTGTTGTGTTTGATAGGATGACTGACTTTGCTTCCCGTAGTTCCAGTTTGAGTGCATGATGAATTACCTCCAGTTAAACCGTGAAATGACTGACAGTTTGTGGCTTGTGGCCATGGATACTGATTCCGTAACCATTGTTGTTGATAGGGCTTTTTGATCCATCAGGAAAAATACGGAACCAGCTGGTCGTGGTAGTTTGCATTTAAGTGATTGTGGTCGGGTTGCGTGCCCTTGTTTGCACGGTTGGTTGCATAGTAGTAGTTCCTGATGCTGAAGCTGAAATTTGAGGGAGGATGTGACACTTTGTCATCACATTAGTAACTTCGCATGTGTTCACGTCCTTATACATCATAGATGATTTTGGTGAGAGAAGGTTTTGCCGAGCGTTTTTAAATGTAATTACAGATTTTGCATTTTCGCAACATACGTGAAACTAAATAAGAAAAAGGAAATTATAATCTAACAAACGTAAATCATTAAAATAGTAGGAAGGAGTGAGGGTGCAAGATTCCCCGTCAAAAGGCCCATACCGTTTCTTGATAGGACGAGGTTGTAATGTGAAACACACAAATGCTCACAGTAATATAATTACTGAGATAACATATTTATAACTACGTTCAAACATTACGATACGATGCTAAGATAACATAGTCAATACTACGACAATCAACCTAACTACTTGGTTTGAGAATACACCAGTGCCGCGGAAGACGTTCCCATGGTCAGTATTTGAAGACACTTTTTCTTGGACCGAAAAGTCAATATTTATCAAACTATCCTGAATTTCCAGTGAACATTGATGCCCTGTTCAGCAGCTAACCGTGCGCTGTCGAACCATACATTGATGTTTTCACAATGGAAGAATAAAATGCACTTGTCAGCTTCAGCTTTATAAACATTGCCATGTTTACATTTCCTGTTTATCCCATAAACGAATGTACAAAGAAACATACGTGCCTGTTGTCGCCAACATGCTGGATTAAAAGTGCTGTGTTCAATAGAAATGCCAAGGAAGACATCCGTGGGAAAGATTCCAATTCTCGCATTATTTATCTTAAATGGATTGAACACAATAGACAATACGTTCCTTAGTAGTGTTTATCTGATTTATTAACACACACTGTTGTATTAGCTGCAGCATACCGAAGAAAGATATGGAGGCGATTATAGATCAGGTTAGAGTTTTTCCACAAAACGGCATTATGGCCATTTTGTTCGCTTTTAAAGACCTTGGCCATCACTTCAATCAAATAAGTCTAAAAATATTGTGGGAACTGTGTCATACTTTACTTGAAAGATGCCTGCTTGTTGCTTGGAGACCAAACAAAGGCGTTGCTGTATAGGAAGGCCTTCTCGATATATTATGAAAGCATAATATCAGGCATGTCTGATGTACATGAAATACATGGAATGAGTTAGGATAATACTCTGGATAAAATCGGAACTTCTCGACTTCCTGTGTACATTCACAAACTGGATCGTCGAAACTTTTGCTGCATAATTAGGACAAATGTTTACATTCTCCTTGCTCTTAACGGGGTTCTTCCTAGACACTCCGTTCCTGTGTGAGGTCAGCCTCAAACCAGAATGTGCAGTAGCCTGTGTGAACAACGCAAATTGCTCCTCATTCTTCTATGACGCCAACACTCAGGAGTGTTATCTGGAGAAGAATGTGTACGTTTCAGGTCACAAGCTCCAGAATCGGAGCGGTGTGCAATACTACACAGTGATCAGCAGTAGGTTGAAATTGTTTTCTTATTTTAATGTTAAGGAGTAATTATAGTACTGTGCTAAATGTGGTTAAACACAATGGGTGATTTGTAATCATCGCCATGGTCAAAATCCTTTTGTAAACCACATCTACGTGTAAGTTGCACGTTAACTTCCTTAAAAAATGCAATTTACTATATCTTTGATGAAATATTGCTTTTGATTGAATTAAGACTGACAGCCTCAACGACCTTTTACACTTATGTAAGTCTTGATAATATATGTTTTTGTTGACCTTATGTAATATTCTACAACGTGTATGGTACTGAAATCACCTTAATACTGTTAGTTAGGTATGCAGGGTCCTTTGCTAATTGCCAGAATAAAGCACATGTAGAGAGAGTGAGTATGGTTTTACGCCACTGTTATCAATATTCCAGCAATATCACGGCGGGGGACACCAGAGATGGGCTTCACACATTGTACTCATGTGGGGACTCGAACCCGGGTCCTCGGTGTGACGAGCGAACGCTTTAACCACAAGGCTACCCCACCGCCCCACACATTTAGAGGGTCACAAGTGTATTTTCAATTATATACATTCCTTCACTGTCAACTATCTTGTTACAGGGGCGTGTCCGTCGCCATACATCTACTGCCGCACTACCAACCAGTGTCTCAGGATGTATGCGTCCACATCCGTGTTGTTCCCGGAAGCCGAGGCTCGCTGTAGGGTGGACTCAGGACATCTCGTCTACATCAAGTCCGAGGACGAAAACAGACAAGTAGCCATTATTGCCGACAGTAAGTGAAGGCCTTTGAAGGCCTTTAAATGTATATTGATGTTATGGTATAAGATCCGCTTTGGAAAATTACTGCCTCAGATATGTAATGTCCCGTGTTACAAAACAACCCCCTCCCCCAAGCAGGAGAATCAGGTATGCTATATATACTGGACAAAATAGTTAGGGATTTATGTAAATTTTGAAATTATGAATAATGATGTATTTATTCACTGACACATTGATGAAATATCAATCTTAAATGTACCAATATCCCTAACTTACTTTGTCCAGTATAGAACGGTGTTTTAAATAGCTTAAGGACTTGTATTTACTCCGGTTTCTGGGGCCAACGTAGTACCAACAATCATACTGTTACACATGACATTCCGAAATTTCTGCAATTTATTGCGGAATGCTTTTCACATCTCAGTCTGCGGAGAAAGATATTCAAACGTTTGAAAACTCTGAAAGGCATATCGCATCCACGTCATTACAGTATGACCTCCATAACACATAACATTGATTTAGGGACCTCACATGCAATATTCGTTGCTTAGGGTAGTACCGTCTGTTATTACCCTTAAGATACATTTGTCCAATTCTGATTGGTCCAAAGATATCAACCCATGTAGGCAGTTTTGCCAGGGTGTACCCGACCGTACACCCCGTCAAATCTGTCACGTGACACACTACACGGGTTTGTACGAATGGCCTTGACCTAAGACGGAATGTGGCTGCCAAACGGCTGATCGCTTCGAAATTTTAGAGTTGGCGTATACAATTATGAGTATAAACATAGTAATAAAGTTCTTGCCATAATTTCTTATTAGTTTGTGTCAATAAATACATCCCCAAAATAAAATGTTTCTGTAACTCACTTGTCATTTAACAAAACCTCAAATTCGATTTTTTTTGTCGTAAACTAAGCCATCCCGAGTGATCTCCCTTTATGACCGTTCAGGGAAAAATCATGGCGAAACGTTTTGCTTTTTTACGATTGAATGTTGCTGTTTAAAGCTAAGCTAAATATAAAGATCTCAAGAGTAATAAATTCGTCACACGGTATTTTGAAAGGGTGTACGGGAAATACGGAATTTACAAGGGTCTTATAGTCCCGAATTTCAACACTTACCTTAGTAAAATCCCCGAACCAAGGCTTTGTTTGTTGTGTTTAACGCCGCACACAGCCATATTCCAGCTTTATGATGATACGTATCCGTAAAAAGTCGTTTCTGGACCAAACAACCCAGTGATTGGCAACACGAAGATCGATCTATACAAGCTGATACGATGACACGCATCAACTATGTCGGCGAGCCTGGCCACCCGATCCCGTTAGTTTCCTCTTACGACAGACATGAGTTACCAAAGACCAATTCTAATCCGGATCTTCAATCCTGAGTGTAAGGCGTGGGCAAGGCAACGCCAGGGCCGTGTTCCTTGACGAATGACAGTTTTGTCTCCGTTGTTGGCGACGAAGTGACGGCATGTTTGTCAGGGGGTCCTTTCACGAAGCAAGATTTACTTAGGTAAACCTTAACTGCCATTCTTTAGCATTGCACTTAGGCTACCTTAGTGACTTACGATCACTTTAGTGCTTTATGAAAAGAGGCCCAGGACAATACCTTTTGGCCAGGATCAGTTTAGAGGCGCAATTGCCATGCTGTTGGATGATATGTACACTCAGCATGTGCAGAGCTTCAGTTCGCTGTTCAGGCGGAATAGCAACCAATACCAATGGTAACCACAGACAAGTTCATCAGTAGCATGTCATCAATGGGTGTATGTATCACCCATCATGGTGGGGCAGCAACCAGATATTTATTTATGTTCTCAGACCATAGACCCTCTCTTCTAATATCGTTATATGCATGGGTGTTTAAACTATCGACAGGTAATTAACCGACGTACAAACGGAGCACTCACGTAACGAAAATATTTTGAAAATGATTTTAATTGTGACTTACATATCACATACATTGTGTACGTATTTCCATAACAGCACAGGTGTTCTTTTGCAGTGTTCAGCGTGAGATATATCATGAAAGCCATGTCAAAATGTCAACGGAGAAAGTGTGGATTGTAACTATACATATATATGTTGATTTTTACTGGTATTTCAAAACCAGGAACAGAGAAGTGAGTGAATGAGTTATGATTTAAGTCACATAGGCAATATTTCAGCCATATCGTGACTAAAAACAAGTGAAAATTAAATAATAAATGAAGGTAAATTATAAAACCCTGTCAACGAAGCAACAACAGATAATGGATCCCCAATGCATCTCCTTAACACACGGTGGAGCAGCAGGGAAATATAAAATTAAGAATTTAAGATATTTCTTTTAAAAACATACGAATACTGCTGATAAAGTTTTGTCCTTCATTATGCCCTTCACAATGCCGTTCAGAATGTGGTTAAAGGTTATAGTAGGGGTTACACTTTCTCAATAAAGTATTTTAGAACTTTATTCGGTCGAGTCCCGGTCTTTACACTGAGAGTGTAATCCCACATACAGCATATGTGTCAGTTCCTGTCATGTATTCATTTTGCGATTCTTCTTATATTATCATGTAATACACACAAATATATATCCGTCTTGTTATTTACAGATCAGCCAGTATGGCTGGGCCTCCAACGCAACGCTAATGGCCCTGGTTGGCACTGGTCAAACGGGAACCCTCTTGGGACGTACACAAACTGGGGTCCGGGAAAACCTGATGATGGAAGTCAGATCTATCTGTTTATGTCAAAGACCGGCTTCTGGGACGACCTTCGTCCCACACAACGTCAGATTGCTGTCTGTGAAATAGATGTTGAGTAGGAATTTTAAGGAGAACTATACAACTGGGTGCCGTGATATAGAAAATCGGACTTCAGATGAAATGTGTATTGTGGATCAAGCGCGCGCGCGCTCTCTCTCTCTTTCTCTCTCTCTCTCACACTCACACAGAGGGAGAGAGAAAGAGAGAAAGAGAGAGAGGCAGACACACGCACGCACTCACACACATACACACACGCACTAAGACCTTTTTGATCAAAATTATCTCTTCACGCAATGTTGAAATATGGGTCCGTGCATCGTACCTTCTGTCTGAATATCCAGAGTTCTCTCCCTTTTTACAGTCATTTCAATTCCTGTTATGTCTTCAGTTTGAGGTTCCAGTACACGTGTGTGTCGTAGAATAGGAACATTTTTATCTCTTTATTCCTTTGTTAAATGAACATTAGTCAATATGAAGTTGTTTCATAAAAATCCATGTTATATACATCATTTGTGGACAGAAGTCTGTATCCACTTTAATATGGAACTCATCTCTGTTGGATAGGACATAACCTCTAATTTGTGTCGGCCATTTCTCTTTATGGCAGGCGACTAAATGGATCGGGTGGTCAGGCTCGCTGGCTTGGTTTACACATGTCATCGGTTCCCAATTGCGCAGATCGATGCTCATGCTGTTGATCACTGGATTGTCTGGTTCAGACTCGATTATTTACAGACCGCCGCCATATAGCTGGAATATTGCTGAGTGCGACGTAAAACTAAACTCACTCACACTCACTCTTTGCTGAAATGTTGGAGTTTATCATAAAATTATGCGGTCTTTATCACTAAAATATTTTGTGAGTGATTTGGAATATAATTTCTGTCTTACACTATCGAAAGCTTTTTTAAAATCACTCCACCTGCCAGTCAGTACTTTGTTGTTTGTATCTATGCTTTTAGTGGTTATGGCATTTTTGCCCTTCAGGATTCTTGCGTTCGTTAAAAGTAACAAAATCGTTTTCACTTTTGTCTATCCAGTTTTAAATTGTAATATTATTCCTTCTATTTAGAGGCTGTTTATTCTGTGCTACCATTGTTTGGTTTTATCTTCATTGTTTACACAATGTTGTTACTGTTAGATAAGTTTCAGTTTTGATTTTAGTTCCACGTCTATGCAGAGGTAAAACTCCTTTATCACCATAATGATTCCATTTGTTTTTAATCGTACATATTTCAAGTCAAGACAGAGACATGTAGTCTGAATTATAGTGAAGCAGTGCCACATGTTGTATCCACAACGCATGGGTAATGCACGGGGTCTTGTCGCATCTAGCTACATTAACTGACTTGAATTGTACGTTGGTGGTTATTTTCATCTTGATATATATCACTAGATTCGTAAAACTGTATTGTTAAACGAAAGAGAACCCTTTTAGAGGGGTCTTGGACAATTGCCACCCAAGACATAACAACATAAGTCAGTTTCTTTACCAACTTTTATTGAATGTGACATGGTAATCCATCGTAAGTAAAAACATATGCTTTCGTATAACGAACTTTCAGCAACTTAAGACAAATCTTGTACATCAAACTTCAATCTAAAATTTGTGGCAATTGTCCTAGGTGACAATTGTCCGGGTGGCAATTGTCCCGCTCCCGTTTAGAGCAAAGCAGCAAATCCCCATTACGTTACAAATTGTTTAGATTGGCTCCCTCGGTTGGTCCTTCGGGACATCACGAACACTGCTCTATCCATACACTGCACTATACATGGATGTATCTTTTTACAGGAAGCAAAGATTCAGTTACAAACATCATTAAAGTCTGTTTTGCATTTTCAGAAGTTGACAGGCAACAGTAAAGGCAATGTTCAGCAGGTGACTTGTGACGTCCCGCACGCACACACGCGCACACACACATACAGGGTTTAGAACTACTGGCCAAATGTTGTAAAGTCACTAGTATTGTTTTCATTGGCTGATATGTGGGTCGCAGCGTCTATCTACGATATAATCTATCTTGTGAGGCTAAAGGAAGTGTTGCTTTTGTTGTTTGTCTTTGAAAATGTTCGATGTTTACATTGTTCAGTGTGTGTGACGACTTTTGATATAAATAGTTTTAATGATTAGACCATCCGGTGACATTGGTCCAATTCCTCACTTTGAATGCCTGTCAGGGATCCAACCCTTGACAAGACAATCGATCTTCTTCATTAAACCTTTACTGTTAATAAGGCTTAATTCATATATACATTGAGGACCATCTTAATCAAACGGGTGACATAACAATCCCCATAATACGATGATATAATCTGAGGCAAAAGCAGGTAGACTAGGCGCCAGCCCGAAGCTTAATATTCGGCGTGACGAGCGAGCGCTTTAACCACTTGACTGCCCTACAGCCTCTGAGCTCACTGACTGGCTCCGCCCAACTGTATTCTGAGGGATGGTTTGCGTCATTGAATCTGCCTTCACTTACAACAATCATGGCTGTTGAACTTGATTCTTTTCAAAATTACCTTGTAATCAATGTAGGAAAGCTTACCTCCGTATATTCACAGGAAGTATTTGTGACAAGTGGAATTACCACGTGTGGATCATCAAATCCTCAAGGCGTATGCTTGCAGTTTTACAGAATCAGAAAAGAAATAAATTCAAATTGGTAAAGGTATGAAGGATCAGATAATAAAGCAAATGATGTCAACAAGTGGTTTACCTTATCTTCAGGAAAATATACGATCTGTCAACAATAGTCACATGGATTCCCTTCCACTGCTTTAACCACCAGAACCAAAAATCTAATATAGCAGTGAGATCACCTCATTTGCGTCAGCCCATTCCTGGTGTTCACCGCCGTCATATTGCTGGAATATTGTTAAAAGCGGGGTGAAACCTTACTCAATCATTCTCTCATTTGTTTCACAATTAGATATATGCATGAAAGATTCTGATGGACACACATTAACTCTCCGCAAAACTGTACGACAGTGGGGATGACTTTAACCGTCCAGTCGACAACTTTCCCATTATATCAGTTAAGCAGTATTTGTGTAGATTTCCCAAGTTTTGAGGGACAATTGGCTGTGCTCTTTCCATCAACACTTCTATGAATCTTTGATGAAAGTTGTTTTTATCAAGGTTAAAACATTCAAGACCTCAGGAAAGCAATCCAAACGCTCTTTGGTAGGTTTGTGCAGGATATTTTCAAATGTGAGGCACCAGTATTTTCTCATGGGACAATTGACTTACTTTGCGAAGGTTTGCGTTAGTTGACAGCGGTTAGAAAATAATAAGGCGCATTCTCATGCAATAGTCAGATTTCGAAAGAGTATAGAATAAAAAAAGGTTTTGTGGCTTACAATTTGTAGGTGACTCAGCACATTTAAATTCAAATATGATGACGATGAAAATGAAACCACAATCACAAGGATCGACCCAGATTTGAAAGAAAACGCCAAAGCCAGAGAATAATGTCTCTCGATTATTCTCCGGAAAGCCATGCATCTGGGGTAAAAGCTCTTGCAAGCTCCATAGGCATGTCTCGTATCAACCATAGCCTATTAAGAATCGGTGAACATAGACATGGTTGGTTGCTGTTAAGAAATGGAACCAAGAAGGTTGTCTGTTTGCTCTGACAATGTTTATGAAGAACACATACACTGACTACTTGATATACAATTGAGACGGGGTATATTTTTCAGTTTGTCTGATACTATCTAAAGGAAAGAAATGCAAGCATCATACATCGGAGGTTGAACGGATGCTTACCGAAAACAACATTTATCTAGTTAATGGATAAACAAATGAAGTCAATTTTCAGTTGTCTGACATAATCTATAACTTAGGGTATGGGTATATAAGGACGTGGGTCGTTGCTACTGAGGCAGTCACCATGTTGACATTCTCCTTGCTCTTCACTGGCTACATCACAAACACTCTGGATCCGTTCCTGTCTGGGGCCACCCTCAAATCGGAATGCGCAGTAGCCTGTGTGAACAACGCAAACTGCTCCTCTTTCTTCTATGACGTCAACACTCAGGCTTGTTACCTGGAGAAGTATGTGTTCGTTGCCAGGGAGCAGCTCCAGAATCGGAGTGATGTTCAATACTTTTCTCTGCTGAACGGTAAGTATTTTACCATCGAAGATCATATTTAATATTTTTGTTGTTGTTGTTGTTGTTGTTTTTAAACGAGACATGAAAACCTTTTCCACGAGAATTTGAAGCCAGATTACGCATTTTATTAGTTGAATTGCCACTGCATTCTTGATAATTAATTTAGAGAGTTAATGCCCACTCTATTTGATTTCTCTCTGGTATCTTCACATGCGTTTGAGGTACAGCATCTGAAAGAACATTAACAGCTTGATGATCGACTTGATCAGCAATTGAAAATTACTGGGACAAATGAAAAATGTCAAATTCTCTGGTGATTCAGGATGACATGCACTTGTTTCAACCATCCAGCTCATTCTAAATTACGAGACATGAGCAAACTTATCATATCTCTTTAGAAGTCAACAGTAGCAATTTCACCAGTGGTGTTATTTCACTAAGACAGGCTGTATCAGTTATAAAGCTAAAGCTATGTAGGTTGAACGGTGATGCCAGTACGGTGTAAGTGCGTAATCTGTCCTCTCTCCCTCCATGAGTTTTTCACCTGAACAACTGGTCACTATATAAATCTAGAATATGTGATTTGCAGCAGTGTTGATGGCAGTAAAATAAACAAAATGGTAATTTCAATTTGGTAAAGTCTTTAAGACATCCAGATATCAAAATATACGACGCATTGTCGAAGAATTATTTGGTTTTCATTACACTGAATTAAAGAAATATATCAGTTTTGATTAAAGATGAAAACATACACCACAAATCTTGAAAATGTGAAAACAATATCGTCTCACACATACTTAAAAATGATTTTGTAGATGATGTAGCAATTTCCATGTCAGATTTCCTGGCTAATAGATAATTAATTTATTGAACAACACCTATATGTTTAGTTCACTATTTTTAATTTTGTAAAATAGTTTTAACTGATTAAATTAAGACCAAGTTTGAAACAATTCACAAAAATGTAACATATCATGCGAAGCCTATCACAGAGGCCTCCGAGGCTCAAAGGCAAATGACAGACCCACGATATGAATCCTTGTTAAATGTCTAGATTTTATGGAGTCCGCTTCTTTACAAGAAACATTGTGTGTCTTTTGTGTCT